TTTATTAATTAATCGCTCTCTCTACCAATACATCTCCGTCTTCATCATTTATATTTGGGTACAATCTTATGCGAAAGAAACCCTAATCTTCTGCGATGTCTGTGATTGTGGTAGTTTAAAAGATCTTCAATTTCAAAGCCGCTGAGGAATCCGAGCAAATAATTATCCCAAAAAAATTGTATGATCGAATTTAAGAGAAAAAAAAATGAATTGAAATTTAAAATCAGTAAACTGTAAACATACACATGAGAATCAATAACATTCCCGCAAAACTTTATCTTCCGAGTAGAACCAACGTACAATTCCTCCAAGCTATACATGAGCGCGTTCTCCACCGGCGTCGCCTTCCTGGATCCTCCACCGCCGCCGCCGCTAGGAAATTCTGTAGCTCCACCGCCGCCGCCAGGAAATTCTCTAGCTTCACCGCCGTTCATCTAAGAGAAGTAGCTCACAATACCAAATAGAATTATTGATCAAATTCAATTCCTGACGTACATAATAGGTAATCAATCCCACAACACAAACAAGATCAAGAACACACACACACACACACACACACACACACACAAGAAATGACGCAGAACGGAAGCACGGTAAAGAATTAATTTCTACGAATTAATCCTATAGAACACAAAAACTCTGGAATCCACTAGATAATTGTGAGAAAACTTAGAAATTTTATTAATAATGAAAAGATGCTGAAAAATAAACCCTAGAGCAACTATTTATACCAAAAAAAACGAGAAACCTAATCAAAATAGGAAAACGAGAAAATTACCAAAAAAGACAAAAAAACGAAATAACTCCTAAACCTAATAGAATACCAAAAGTTGGAAACAACCCAACTTGCGAAATTCAAATCCGATTTTTCTAGAATTAATTATGAATTATTTAAGACTTTCCTAAAATAGCAAAAACGTCGTTTTGAAGGCCTAAACGACCTCGAAACGCCAAAATCCATCGCACATCACAGAACTGTGTGTTTGACTCCCCTCGTCGTTCCGGTTCGGAAAAGCTTGGCCCCACCCAATTCCGACTCCGCCACCTCTGCATCAAGAAACCAATTGCAACGATAATGTAACAAGGAAACGAACCTGTTTAAACGAGGTGACGTCCACCCATGAATTATTTGAATTCCTCGTCCAACAATTCGACATCTTCCAGGAAATAAAACGAATACTACAAATCGAAGAAAAGAGTCGTCATTTCATTTCATGCAAATTAAAATTTGAATTCAGAAGGTCAAAGAAAGATATTGTAGTTTCGATAACTAACCCATTAGAAAATATTCGCTGGTTTTCTTTCTCAGATATTGCACCAGCTTCTTCCGGGATTTTTTCGAATTCTCGTCTCTCTCATTAACCGTCTCACTAATGCAGATTCCTTCCAATCTCCAGTAGACGCCATTACACCCGATAACTGTACAAGAGCACCGGAAATTCGAGAATCGAGCTCCATAATTCTCTTGGCAACTTTCAAAGAAAGCGACTTTTCGCCGTTTTCGATGCAACCTCTCAAAATCGCTGACCACATAGTTGCATCGGACTGAAAAAGAATCTCATCGATAAGATCAATTGCTTCTTTCAGACAACCCGCTCTAGCAAAAAGATCGATCATGCAAGAGTAGTGTTCAATACCAGGATTGATGCAATACTCGTTTCTCATTATGTAAAACCATTTTTTCCCTTCTTCGACTAATCCACAATGATCGCAAGCCGATAAAACTGCAGTAAAAGTAACTTCATTAGGTGTAACATTCACTCCTCTCATTTCTTGAAACAGAGCCAAAGCTTCGACTCCGAATCCATTTGTAGCGTAACCCACCAACATTGAATTCCATACAACCTCGTTGAATTTCGTCATTTGGTCAAATAATTTCTAACCGTTTCTAACGATACCGCAGTTACAGTAGAAGTCTATAAGGGATGTTGCTATGACCTGGTCGGAATCTACACCAATGACAGTTGCTCGAGCAAAAATCTGTTAGCCGAGTTCGAGCGATGCAATTCCAGCACATGCAGTAATTGCACTAGCTAGGCTGTATCTATCCATGCTTAAGTCGTTGTCGTTGTTCATTGTGCAAAAGAGTTCTAATACTTCCACAGCATAGCCATTCTGACTCAGATGCTGCTGATGGTTGTTGTAGTAGAAACTCTGGTTCTGGGCGCGAGAGTTGGGGGAAAATTGGCCTGATTTGAGGCCCTCTTCGCCGTAGAGATCGTAGATCTGGTGCTTCTGAAGGTCGATGAGTACATCGTAGGCTTCGGAAATCTGCTTGAATTTGGTCTCGGCCTCCTGCTTGTTGGTGTTTTTGTCGGGATGCCAAATCATGGCGAGGCGGCGGTAGGCTTTCTTCAACTCTTCGTCGTTGGCGTTGCGGTTCACTTTCAGGATGTTGTAGTAACCAATCCCCCTATCTGTGTTCCGATTCCGATTGTTGAAATTGGGGCTCTTTTTTTTTTTTTTTTTCTTTTCTTAATTCCTGTTACGGAAAGTGATTGACTGCAAGTGATTGATTGCAGATGTGAGAGGAGGAGGGCGGTGGTGGTGGGCGTGGCTGCGGTGGTTGAAATTGAGAGTAGTAGAGAAATTGAGTTTGAACAAGGAAGGTGGTGACGAGGTGTGAGATTGGGAAGGAGGAAGAATGTGGGGTTATTTTTTCTTTAATTTTGTTCACATAGTTTTTACCTGAAAAAAAACTAGGGCACGATGCAAAAAAGGGGAAGATGAAGATTGTAGTATTTATACCTATTAATTTTGTAATTGATGTATTTTCGAAGGATATTTTCGACACTACACATGGGTTACAAAAGGGGATTCAATATGTGATAACCAGTCAAGCCAATTTTGGCTTGACTAACAATAATTCGAATGAGGTATTTAATGGGTGGGCCCAACAGTCAATGATGCTAACTCAAGCAAACCAAACGTTGTACAAAACGGTACAACCCATCTCATCTAGGGGTGGTAAACGAGTCGAGCCGGCTCGTGAGCTCGACGAGCCGGCTCATAAAAAGCTCGAACTCGGACTCGAGGTTTTCGAGCTCGAGCGCGAGCCCGATTTTAGTTGTTCATCGGCTCGCGAGCCGGATTTATTATTATTTTTTTATTTATTTTTTATTTTTTATATACTATTTTTATTTAAATAATGTATAATAATATAAAATATTATAGAAATAAATACAAATATTAAAAAAATATATAATCACAATTTAGTTTTTATTTTGTAATTTTTTAAAATATTTTTTAATAATAAAATAATATTTAAAAAAAGAAAAAAAAAAAAGAGATTGGGCTCGAGCTCGAGCTCGAGCTCGACAAACTTAACACGAGCTCGAGCTCGAGCCAGAAAAAGAAGAGCTCGACGAGCTCGAGCTCGAGCTCGAGCTCGACGAGCTCGAGCTCGAGCTCGACAAAATAAACTCGAGCTCGAGCTCGAGCCAACCAAAAGAGGCGAGCTCGGCTCGAGCTCGGCTCGTTCACACCCCTAATCTCATCCCTTGTAATACCCCAACCAAAGAGGCCCTATGTATACTATATCAGTATTTTTTGTGTTATGACATTATTGTGTTCATCACCAATTAATATAATAAGGTCAAGTGGGTGATTCCAAATTTCGTGCCGGGAATTTTAAATTCGTATGTGAGATGTAAGAGATAAGTTTGGTAGGCCAACATCTATAAATAATAAGGAGTTAATTGCATAGACCCCCCTGTGTTATTTCTCGGAAGCAAAAAACCCCCCCGGAAAAAAAATTAGCATATGACCCCCTATGTTGTGTTTTAGTCAGCTCACCGCCCCTTTGTGTGCACTGACTCGTTGACTTACGCGAAATGACAAAAATGCCCTTCAGATAAATATATCCAACCTCTAGAATTTTATGACTCAAATGAAATTTTCAAAATTTTCAATTCAGTCCCTAGCACTTTCAATTTAGCCCTCTTCTCCAATTGAAAAAAAAAAAACAACGCACACTTCAATTTCAAATTCTCAGCTCATAGCTCAACGGCGGCTGCAACGGCAGCTGTGTTTGAGAGGATTTTGCGATGGGCTTTGCTATTCGTCGGAGAATTCGGCGAAGTGTAGCTCGCCGGACCTCGATTGGCGACGACTTTACAGAAGATCTGAACTCGCGGCGGCGGCAGCGGCGGCGGCGGCAGCAGCGGCGGCAGCAGCGGCGGCGGCGGGGATATTTCATTTTTCTGATTATTACCGCGTCAAAATAAAACCAGTATTCAATTCATATTAACTCCGATTGAATGCATTACCGTTGCCGAATTTCTCTCTCTTCTCCGTCGGAACAAACTGTAGTTGATTTCTTACTGTTTCAAATCTCCGTTGCTATCGGAAGCGAGTTTTGATTCTCTGTTTTGAATCTGCTTTTTCGTTTTTTTTTTTTCCGGCGAATATTTCGCCGTTTTCCTTATAATCCAGCTGAATCGGCAGTTTTCATATGCCGATAAACATTGTTCTTCACCGGCGTGTCGATTGAAGGGTTGGGGGAGGGGGAGGCGGGGATGGAGGAAGGGGGGTGGCCGGGTGGGGATGGAGGAAGGCGAGTGGATTTATTCTTTTTTTTTTTCTGTATTCTTTATATTTGTTTTGACAATTTTGATAATTACAATTTAGTCCTATAACTTTAGATTATTTATAATTAAATCAATCTGGGTTTTTTTCCTCTTACAAAGGGTTTTTATGTCTTTTCCTGTCCTAAAATGTCCTAAAACGCACGCCCAGCTGCATGAACCGCGAGTGTATCCCACGATTCGCTCGTAGGGTCCTTATTGTCATTGACTTCCTTTCATAGGGGGGTATTAGCTAATTGTTTTATCCGAGGGGTTTTTTTGCCAATTAGAGATTTCAAAGGGGAGCCGAGTGCAAATACCCCAAATAATAAGTATGCACATAGTAGAGCGAGCGCTCCATAATTAATCAATTAATCCTTCTCATTCACAATGTCACCTTCTACTCGCTCAATCATCCTTTACTCCTTGCTAATTATGTTATTATCATCTTATAATTCGAATGCTCAAACAACCCCACCAAAACCCCAATCCTTCATTTTCCCAATCAAGAAAGATGCCAAAACCAATCAATACTACACCACCATTCAAATAGGTTCCAAAGCCACCACACTCGACGTCGTGATCGACCTCGGCGGCAAATTCCTCTACTTCTACTCCGGCGACTACTCCAACGCCACGTCATCGTACCGCCCGATCCCGTGCGGGACCCGCAAATGCAGGACCGTCGTCGACACCGACGGCTGCGTCGTCTTCTGCAATACATCCCCCGGCCCCGCGCCAGGGTGCACCAACAACACCTGCGCCGACTACGCGCTGAATCCCTTCACCGGCACCCAGGGCTACAACGGCCTGGGCGAGGACGCCCTGCGCGTGCGCTCCACGCGCGGGTCCCGCCGCTACTACACGGTGAATAACTTCCCGTTCCAATATTCGGATCCCGTTCTGAAGGATGAGCTGGCAAGCTCCACCTCCGGAGTGATTGGGCTGGGCAGGTCAAAGATATCCCTGCCTGCCCAGCTCTCCTCTGCTTTCAAGATCCGCCGGAAGTTCGGCCTCTGTGTTCCGTCTTCCGGCGGCGGTAACGGAAATATGATCGTTGGAGAGACGACATATTACAAAATTTCCAACAAGTCACTGATTTCCACCACCACCCCACTCTTGAGAAATCATGGGAGCAAATATAACAATGGGAGGTTGGGCAACTTGACGGTGGAGTACTTCATCGGTGTAAGATCCATTAAAGTAGGCTCCAAGACACTCTCGTTGAACAAAACGATGCTCTCGATCGATGAGAGCAACGATGGAAGTGGAGGCACTAGCATTCAGACAGTGAGGCCTTACACCACACTGCAAAGACCACTTTACAGGGCTTTGGTCAAAGAGTTTGTCAAGGCTGCTCGAGCCAAGAATATTACGAGAGTGAAATCCGTAGCTCCGTTTGGGGCTTGCTTCGATTCGAAGAGTGTAATTGTGAGCTCGAAGACGGGCCCACAAGTGCCGACTATCGATTTTGTTATGCAGAAGAAGAGTGTTTATTGGAGGTTTTATGGATCGAATTCGATGGTTAGAGTTGCTAGTAAAGACGTGATTTGCCTTGCGTTTGTTGAAGGAGAAATAAATATAGCAGGACCGACGACGTCGATAGAAGTGGGAGGGTATCAAATGGAGAATTATCTGCTCGAGTTCGATTTGGCTTCTTCAAAGTTCGGGTTTAGCTCTTCACTCTTGCTGCATGATACAACTTGTTCTAAGTTCCTAAGCTAGGTTTAAAGTGTGATGGAAAGTATTTTGTAAACTTTGAAGTTAAGTTTTTAATTTGTGATCACATTTGTGTGCATGTTCTTTGTTTGGTTTATTTGGGTTGAAATTGAGTTAGTAATATTCTTCTTCTTTCAGAAAACATACAACGGATTGGAGAATCTATATATGTTTGCCCCACTTTAAATTCTTCTCTTTCATTTCTCAAAATAACAATCTGTATGTTAAATATTAATTGAGGATATTAATATTAAATAACACATTTCACTGATAGCTTTGTCATTTGATATAGTTTCAGAGCCAAATCAAATTAAAAGGTCATGCGTCCACTTTCACCCATTTAAAAGTATAATTATAATTTGGGTAAATAGCATTAAACCACCTAAACTTTTTTAGTTTTTGCGGATCACCACCTGAACAATTTTTTTTTGCACGAGTTCATCTGTACTTAATAAATTGTGCCACTTTGCCATTTTTTGCCCGTTTTCAGGTCAAAATGACTGGTTCTCAACCCATGTGCGTTGCACATGACAAATTCAAGGGTATTGATGTCTTTTTCATTTTTAAAATGGAATAAATTCTTTTTTTTTTAAAATGGAATAAATATAAAATAGAATAATTAAAAGAAAAAAAAATCATGTCAGTTTTATTTTATTTAATTAATTAATTTTATATATACATACATTATACATAGATATGCAGGGGATAAAACCCACTTAGAGTTGCAGAAGCAAAACAGAGGTTTTGAAGAAAGATTCTCTCACATACACACACACACACAACACATTCTTTCCCGTTTTTCACTAATTTAATCGGTATGAATTAACTTGGTACGTTTGTATTTCACTTTTTTTCATCGAATATTTGATTCTTTGATTGAATCCCACTTCAGATCTGTTGATTTTAATAAAAAAATTAATTTTATTTTGCATTTGAATTGAAGTGGGATGATCTTGGTGAAAATGGGGGGACGAATTTTTGTGCAACTGGTGGTGGTTTTATCATTTCGGAGTGGTGTGTTTGTTGCAAACGCAGAGGATTTCACACCCGATCTCACCGCCAAGCGCCGCACACTTCCGCCGCGGCCTCAATTGTGAGAAGATCATCTAATCCTCCATTCGTTGGAAGATGATCTAGTTGATTCGGAGGAAGAAATCGAGAGAAAATAGTGTTCATATAACCTTAATTGGGGAAAGGGGAAATTAAATGGGCATTTTTGACGTAATTTTAGGACCAATTTCATTCAATTAAAATGGGTTGGGATTAAATGTGTTCGAAATACAAACTTTAGAATGTATTGTGTTCATTGTCGAAAAATCTCGTTTGGGGTTGTGGGCGGCGGATCTGAAGATGTGGTGGTGGTGGTGAGTACGGTGGTTGTGCAAGAGGGCGGAGCTGGGTTGTGGGCGGCGGATGTGAAGAAGATGTGGTGATGGTGGTGAGCTTGGTGGTTGTGCAAGAGGGCGGAGCTGATTCCTGGTGGTGAGCGGCGGACGGCTGAAAATTGTGAATTGGGTGAGTAGAGATGGGTGGTGTGCGTGAGATGGGTAGTTTCTGGGATTGGGAAGAAGATGAAGGTCTTTTTTTTTATTTATTTATTTCATTTAACATTTATTCCATTTATCCTAAAAAAAGCATTTATTCCATTTTAAAAATGGAAAAGACGTCAATAGCCTTAAATTTGTCATGTGCAACACACATGGGTTGAGAACCGGTCATTTTGACCTGGAAACGGGCAAAAAATGGCAAAGTGACACAATTTATTAAGTACAGGTGAACTCATGCAAAAAAAAATTGTTCAGGTGGTGATCCGCAAAAACTGAAAAAGTTTAGGTGGTTTAATGCTATTTACCCTTATAATTTTATGCAACGCCGTCACATGGCTCACATACTCCAGTATTCTGTGACCTGTGTGTGTAATGTGTGACCTGTGTGTGTAATGTGTATATATACAAATTATAATTTGTACTTGTCAAATTGGCAAATGTTTTAAAAAGAAAATGTACTTGGAATTTATATGCATAAAAAAAGGGTGAAAATTGTCTGACAGGTCAAAGCGCGTCATTTAAAACGATGCATTTTAAGGGCCGTTCGATCTTTTGATATGTTCCGAACCGTCCGATTGAGAAGACAAAATTGGAGAGATGGTCGTTGATCAAAGCCCAATCCAACGGTCCTTATAAAGCGTCATTTGAAATGACACTTTATTGTAGTTCTAAAATCAATCCAAAAAACACCCCAATTTTCAAAAATATTGACCGAGTAGAAAAAAATGTCACTGCACCAAAAGGGTAGCCAAGTAGCTGCCCTTACGTTTTGTAAGGGACGATCTAGCGGTTAGAGCAAATGAGCATGTGTCAATTGATCCAGGTTCAAATTCCTTTGCCAACGGTTGCTAGGTCAAGTTTGTCTCACATATGGTTAACTTAGTGTGGTTTATATCTCTCATATAGTTTGCAAACTATTAGTAAACTTAGTGTGGTTTACCTCTCTCGTGTAGTTTGCGAATAATTATACGAGCGTGTAGTTTTTACCTAGTGCACCTATTGGCTGACTGCAGATTCATTCGTTACAAAAAGAATGAAAAAGAAAAGAAAAAAAATGTAGCTGCCCCTTACAAGTCACAAGGGTCGGCATTGGCAAGCACTCATTTTCTCAAGTAAATTATGATAGTTTTTGTTGTAAGTCGAGGTGGTCGGTGTTCCATGTGTAGTAATTAAATAATAACCTGCACAGTTGATTATCATATTATAACTATTTTTATATTTGTTGGCACCAAATTTCCGTTAGTGAAGATTGAGAAAATCCGCCATACGTGGAAATTAAAGATTGGCAAAGATTTGTTTTCCATGTTTATTTTGGAATTAATTAGAGTCCTATTCTTGTAATATTTTTATTAGGACTTAGATTTATTTCCATGTATTATATTCTAGTAAGGTATCTTTTGTACTTATCTAGAATAGAAGTAGAAATCGACTAGGATTCTATTACCTAGTTAATCGATTTCTTAGGGCTCAAGTTAGGTTTAGGGTGGTGGATTTCGTGTCTATATAAGGCCCTCAACCTCATATGAGTCCCATGGAGCTTTAATAAGAAAAATCCCAGCATAAAGGCTTTGAAGGGTGCAGCCCGTGCTGCAGCCCTGTCTGCACGGCAGGTGTGGCAACAAAACAGGTTTCTTCTACCAGGCCATAAAGAAGATCGGCGTTTCGGGAGAAGTGCTTAAAAGATCTCGGGAGAGGTCGATCCGCTGTTTGAAGGAAGTTCAACATTGGAGGAAGTCCAAGAGTGCGGAGGAGGAATTGCTTTGATTATCAACAAGTTCGAGTCGTGTGCAAGAACGGCGTATCACATAAAGAGGGAGTCTTTAGTGTTTTATTAAGTCCTATTAATGTACACTTAAATCTGAACTAGTTTTGCAGGTCGATCCGCCGTTTGAAGGAAGTTCAACATTGGAGGAAGTCCAAGAGTGCGGAGGAGGAATTGCTTTGACTATCAACAAGTTCGAGTCGTGTGCAAGAACGGCGTATCACATAAAGATGGAGTCTTTAGTGTTTTATTAAGTCCTATTAATGTACACTTAAATCTGAACTAGTTTTGCAAGTCCTCGTGGATGTAGGGTACATTTGTATCCGAACCACATTAAATTCTTGTGTTCTTTATTCTGCTTTTAGTAGGTTAGTTACTGTGACAACAAAAGAATTCTGTTACCACATCTAATGTCGTAACACGTAGTCTGTCTCAACAGATGAGTGGACTTTGATAGGCATTTAAATTTAACAATATTCTACCCATATTTTCATACCAATTAAAGTGAGGTTTAGGTAGGGTTGTTTATGTTAATGCTGAATGTCTGAAACTAAACAATGTAAGCATGGTTCGTGTGAACATGTAGATAAGATAAAAAAAATATTATCTTTAATCATTTATGTTTTATCGAATATAATATGCATTTGATCAGTGTGCCATATCTGTCCAGATTTGAGGTGGGTTTATTAATTTAGGATAGGCTTGAATTTTTGGAATGGGCTTGCTGAGGGCTGGGCCTCGATCGATGAGCACGTTTCACACAGAGAAAGTTCGGACTTAGGCCGGGGTTAACACTCCGATGACCAAATCAGTAATCTGTTTTGAAACTGCGGAGATTTAATATGCTTTATTAAGGACTTTAAAGATTTTTCAATATTTATGAAGAACATATATTTGCTTTTTTTTTTTTGTGTGTGTTTTTCGAGAGACTTACCTTCTTCAGCGGACATCCGCCTATTTATAGATAAAAACGGACGTCGATTATTCCTCCAATTCGATTCAACAATCCAATCACCGTAATAAAATATTACGGACTTCAAATTGTCTTCAATGGTGTTTAATCTGTCCTTACAGAGACGGCTGCGGGCTGGACATGCCAAAAGTAGAGAACATTCACTGCACCTGTCAGATGATTGAACATGCATTAAATGCCTCTATGTGCGGGCGAGCAGAAAAGGATTTCCCCTAACCTTGTCGGTCGCCTCGCATCTCGCTTGGTAAGCTATAAGATGTTGGGCTTTTCTTCCTTATGGGCTTATAGGGCCTTATAGTCTTCATTAGGCCATTTGAGTTGAACTTTGACCTGATCACCATCCATGTTCGGGGAATTCCTTTTAGCAATTGAGGAATGCAAGCAAGAAATTTGAATCTATATAGTTCGAAGTGTGCGGATCACTTGTCTTAAAAGTTACAGTGAATTACAGACACCTCCTTATAGTAAAGTGTAATTATAAACAAATCCATTATTTTAATGAAATTACATCCAACCCTGTGATTTGTAAAATTCTTACAACCACCCCTACAAAAGAGTGTTAATCTAAGACTTCCAACCCCAGTAATTTGTAAATTTCTTACATCCACCCCCTACAAAATAGTGTTAATGTAAGAAATATATAAATTGCGAGTGGCTGTAACTATGGAAAAGATAAGGGTTTTTTCAATTAATAGCTTTTACCTCAGACGGTGGTTGTAATTTA